GTTTGAAATTTGAAAAAAATGAAAATGTGTTGTTAGTTCCAGGAGCAAATAAAGGTCAAAATTTATTGATATGAGCCCGCAATCTCTTCCATTAGCGCTGGGCAACTGCCTCCTGCGCCAGACCACGCAAAGAATTCTACGGCGAAAACCACCTGACCATCTCGTCAATGATGTTTTTGACCACAGCATGCCCGTGTAAACTGTCACCTGATAGGAATAGCAAAAATGGGCGTGATCATCAAAAGAGGGTCAGATATTTGGATGTGTGAATACGTTCCCTGACAAGGCACTTCGCCATAATTTTCACTTTTTACCTCACAAGTGCTGAGTGGTTAGCTCTTTATGAGCCAGGTTATGAGGAAAAATTCAGGGTGTTAGGGGTGGTGAGCGCGCATCGCGCCACAAAGTTGAAGTGGGCGCGGTCACAGCAACGCGCCTCTTCCCGATGATCAGGTCGGGCACCCGGCTTCAACCAACAAATTCAGCATTTCATCATAATCAGCTGGGAACGCTATTACGCACGACTAGTGATCGTGCAACAAAGGTTGGCCCTCACTGCACCAAGCGAATGCCCTAAACCAACCTCTCTGGCTGTTATCATCGAGGAGAATGACCTCCTTCAACAACTGCGGCGGGCTTCTATTGACAACAGAGTGAACAGTTCTCATTAATGGGCTCCATGCTTCATCGGTAAAAATGATGATGACAGATGCCTGAATTATTTTATAATCACAAGAAGTCATAAATCGAGCAATAGTATAAGGATAAGATCGGGTCGCACAAGAGGTGCACCTTAATCTTCTTCAAAGGAATCATCATCTTCAATACACTTAACAATTGACAGGTGTGTTAATTGTTAATATGGACCACAATTACTTTTCGTAAGCCAGGGAGCGAGCCCTACATGGACAAGAAAAGCACTTTTTCAAATATTACAACACAGAATTTGCGCCGTTCACGAACTAAAGCTGGGCAGTCCTTTGAATCAACCTAGAAACTGCGGCTACCCCCCCCCCCCCAACAATTCAATTTGAGTAAACAAACAATTAAAGGCAGCTTCACGTTAAGTCCGATATTGAAGTAGGGAAATATGCTACTGTAAAAGTAAACTAGGCCCCCAACAAGAATGGTCTTTCAGGGTGGAGCGTATTTTCAAAACAGTTTCACTTTATAGGATCAAGCCAGGACTGTAAAACCGAAGTCTATTTTCGAGCGGCCCTGTGAAAGCCAAAAAGTGCTGAAGAAATGATCCAAGTTCAATTCCTAGTGGTGACAAAAATTTTGCACTTTAGGTTGGAGCTTGCAAAATTCCTTCAAACACGACAGGCCAATAGTAGATGTCATGGTCATTACCAGGACCGGGTGATTTTCACTTAGAGCCATACATCACTCCAACGCAGTAAAATACCCTTTCCAAGAGACGTGGCGCTTTGCGGCGAGCCTCCTCCCTAGCGGCACTTAGAAAGCTTCACAACTGTTGAAAACATCTGAGAACTCCCCCTATTCGAAGGTTCATCCAAAGCGGGAACCATGGGCAAGATGGGGATCCTATTCCGTAAGTTTGAGATCGTTCCCCTTGGTTTCTCTACGGAGAAAGGAAAGGAGAGAAAATGCAAAAAGCCTAATATTATGGCGTTGCCTGATACTAAAAAAACATTTCAACAAGTCATTACTTACACAAGGTTGGAAATCTGACTGAATCCATTCACCGGAAGAGGGAAGACGAAGCAAAGAACTAGCGATTTAAGCGACAATAGCAGCAAAATTGATTTTAAGACAAATGAATTATCACTAAAATTAATCGATGACGGACTTTTTCGAGGCAGCGCGCCAGATGTGGGGTTCCAGAGCTTACAAACCCACAACAATGTATCTGACAACTTCCTGGAGCAATTTCTGAATCATAATTTTGAAAGTGGTAGAGGCGGTTAAGTGGCACAGTGTATTTTAGCCGCGCATAGTTTGATCGCTTCTGACCACTTACCATCAGTGCAATCATGC